ACACACATTTTACATGTGAACCATTACATTAGCTGTCTCTTATACACATCTAGATGTGTATAAGAGACAGCTACTGTATGAGGTATTATTTCCTAAAATTTTCTCACCTCAGCCGCAACCATGGTGGGCTAAGGTGGTTGTAAAGTACATGCATTAAAGACAATGTTTTTAAGCTTTATTTTCTATGGTACATCACACACATTAATAAGATCTCTATGGTTGTCGAAAATCTGTGCTAAAAAATCATGAAAAATTTGATGGCGCTTTATTTTTACTATTATAATGGTGATATGATAATGATGAATTTGGCTAAAAGTGTCATTTCTGGCCATCTAGAAGAATTATTTTCTTAAATTTTCTCAACTCAGCCCCATCGATGGTGGGTCTGAGGTGGTTGTGGACTCCTGAAATGTCTTCCCACCTTTCAAAGCAGATCTGCGCCCTTCCTTGGGTATGACATTAAACTTCGTCGAGTCGGCACGTGACTCAGAGTACAGTATGTCTAAGTAACTCCTATGGGGAAGGTGCATAAATTTTGTTTTCAGGATGTGATCTGGTTTTTCATGCCCATTTTTCGTAATTATGACTACTTTTGATAAATAATCTTTTGAGCAGGTAGCAGTAGATTCAAGGTCCCCCCACCCCCTCCTAATTTTCTTTAATGGAAAAAAAGATAATAATTTGAAATTTAAGTCTGAGAGTATAATTTCTGGCCATATAGAGGTGCCCTAATCATAAATTTTCTTACCTCAGCCCCAACCATGGTGTTACTGAGATGGGTGAGTTATTATAATTATTGTAAGGCTTACTAATATTAGGCCAATTAATGATGCGTCTATTGCAAATTTCACTTTATCCTCTCAAAACAGTCCCTAAACATTCAGAATGTGCTACCTCTTAATCTGCAAAATATTCTCTAATGTAGGAATGATTTTAGAATAAATTTGATTTCCTCTCATTTTATTCCAGAAGGGAGTCTAGTGTTCTATTTTCCGTACACAAAATTATTGAAGTGGAACTTGTAATAATGTAATGTAATATACAGTAGATCGATTTATATAGTGCTTTATACCGGAGTCTCAAAGCGCTGTGGACTAGTTCGTACAGTAACTTTCTTCTCCCCTAAGGGTCTTTTCATGTCTGAGCTTCTTGGTAAACCAGTACCAGCTACTTTCGTCCGTCCACAACAGGGGCTGTATGTGTATGGTTTGCTACAATTGTTGGTGTGTACAGTATTTTGAATGCCTGGATCTCATCATAAGGATGACAGAAAAAACAAAAGCTAAAGGAGGCGGAATACACTATAGATATTGCAGTCATTTCAGTATAATTAACATAAATAATAATACTTGGAAGAATTTCATCTAGTCTTTAGTTGAACTTGTATACTGTAAATGGTTCTTCAATATATCGACTAAATGTATTGAAACTTACATAACCGTTTCAGTCACTGACAGCTACCATTATCAAATGACTGGAATGTACAGGTTAAGCTACGTCTCAAGCTTGCCGATTGCTGGTGCTGTGTCGGCCCTGCAACCACACTCGGGTGGGCCCATGCTTACATCAGATGACGCATGATTGGCCGACCCAGCACCACCAGTCGGCAAGCTGGAGATGTAGCTTAACCAGCGACCGAAACTGCCATGTAAATTTCAAAACTTTTAGTCAATATATTGAAAAACCATTTACAGTATATAATAAATAATAATGACAAAAACCAGAACCCTGCAGGTGTGTACGTTCCTTTGTACGCAAAAAAATCAATGTACATTTGTGAATTGCAATAACTTATTGTATCTTTTTGAATAATGATTGTGTAAGGTAATACAGTATTTTCATTTTCAGTCAAAAAAAT